GTTCAGCCTGGAGAAGAGGAGGCTGAGGGGAGCCCTTACACTCCCTACAACTGCCTGACAGGAGGGGGGACGGGAGGAGGGTGTTGGTCTCTGCTCCCAGGAAACGGTCTCAAGTTGATCCAGGGCAGGTTTAGGTTGGACATAGGAAAAATTTGTTCACCGAAAGGGTTGTCAAGCACTGGAAGGGGCTGCCCGGGGCAGTGGGTGAGTCCCCATCCCTGGAGGGGTTTAAAAGTTGTGTAGATGTGGTGCTTGGGGACATGGTTTAGTGGTGGGCTTGGCAGTTGGGCTTGATGATCTTAATGGTCTTTTGCAACCTAAATGATTCTATGACACAGAGAATTAAATTTTATGACTTGAGGTTTACTTGTTTCTGTAAATAAAGGTTTGGTTTTTTTGTTTTTTTTCTTTTTCTGGTTAGCATCTTGCAGACAGAGTGGCTATGTATGTGCATGCATACACACTATACAGTGCTGTCAGACCTTTTGGTTGCAGGTAAGCCTTTCAAACGTATACTGTTTGTAAGGATCTTTTGTTTCACAATTGCTGGAACCATTTAGATTGTCTAAGGTCTTTGTTGTTTTTTTTTTTTAACTTGGAATTAGTAACCTACAATTCGTCTCATAAACAGATTCCCTTCCCGTTTCTTTTTGTGTGTGTGTGTGAAACCTTAGGTGAAGAATTCAGATTTGCATAACATTATGCTAAGCTTCTACATAGTTTGCCAGTTTGACCCTGAATTTTAAACTTGAAGAGTTGATGCTATTAAGTCTGTGACAAAAGCAGAACTTCCCTCTGCAGTCATCCTGCCCTGATACCCAAAGAGTAGGTTACAACTGGTACACAGTTCTAGTACAAAGGGAGTGATAAACTGAGATCTGCTGTTTAGTTACAGATAACTAAAATGTTTCTGGCAACTTGCAGGTGCTGGGCTGTCATGGAAGCACTAAACTGTTCAGCCAGATTGCTTAACAGAATGTAGCAGGATAGGAGGAGTTTTGCTCCAAGAAGAATGTAGGAAACCTGACTTGGTGTAGTCTCTGTAATTCTGTGTGGGTGCGTGGAGGAAATGTTTCTAATCTCACTCTTCCCCTCCAGTTTCATGCTGGGGTCCTATGATGATGATGATGGTGCACAACTATACATGATTGATCCATCAGGAGTTTCATACGTGAGTGTGTCAAAAATATTTCCATCTTGGCTCAAGTTCTTCTTTTTAAAGTTCCTAGTTAGGAAAACAGGAAGTGCCATTCCAAAAGAGCTGTTAATTTTTTCTCTTTTTGCCCGGGAAGATCTCTGGCAAATCACTGCTTAAATGAACATTGCTGGTTGTTGCTCATTTGCACGTCCTTGTTAAACACACGCTGTGTGTTTCTTATGAGTACAGTCTCCATGAAAGTAGTTTTAAAGCTTGTCTCTCCAAAATCTGGGATTTCTTTCCACCTGGCTATATCCAGTGAAGCATCCCATGTGCTGCCCCAAAAGGGCATATTGTAGTGATGTCCCATCCACAAAGTATTTCGGGTGAAATAAAGCTTCAGATGAGAGAGGGCTGCTACTCTGACACTGGCTGCTGACAGCAAGTCAAATCAAAATGGATGCTTTTTTTAAATGTTTTTAGTCCTGCCTCTTCTGCTGTGTGTGACACACAGGATGATACACGCTCATACTGCTCCGATTTTAAGATTTTCTTTCAGTGTATCCAATACCACAGCTGTTGAGGGAAATATAGAAGTGCTTAATTTGCTTCTACTTCAGTAGGCTTTCATGGTAGGTGGGTTTGGTTTGTTTTGATCCTGTAGAACTTCCCTAATTCTAGTTTGCTCTTCCGTTTACTGTAATAACAATAAAAAAAAAAGCGCCAATCTACCGCAAGAAATTGAGCAGATACATTTCTGTCCAGGAACTACTGAGCTCTTCTGTTTTCTATCAAGAGTGGTAGTACTTAATCTAGTAATTGGGTTCCAGTCAACAACTGGGGAATGTGCCGTGAGAGAAGATGCCACGGCTTACTGTATATTAGCCTCTCATTGTATGACAACCCCCCTCCTCATATGCTAAGTGACAGTAAGAACTGTAGAGGGCTTAGTATTTAATGAAATGTGCATATTTTTCTTTTTCTTTTTTTTTTTTAGGGTTATTGGGGGTGTGCCATCGGTAAAGCCAGGCAGGCTGCAAAAACAGAGATAGAAAAACTTCAGGTATGATGTTACAGTTTTGGTGTGCTGTTTCAAGACAAATGTTCCTAGCTTACATTTTTGGATGCCTAAAATATATAAAATACAAGAGAAGCAGATGGAATATTTCCTTGTATGTTCCAGGAGATGTTTTAGCCTCTGTAATAGCAGTATTTCTCAAGCCTTGCCCCTGGGCAATGGGTAGTCCATAGGGCGTGTACATGCTTCAAACAGGAAGCGTAAACACACGCTCCCATGCATCACGCCAGCAAGCAAAGTAATTGAGTGAATATGGAAGTTTTTAGTTGTGAATGAAAACCTTAGGGCAGCATTGTACAGGGTGGTAAGTCTATTTTTTTCCAAAAGTTTCAGATGATCCTTTTGTTTAAAAAGTTGAAAAAAGCTGGTCTTGTTAAGGGCAATGAGTGGAACTACAGACAGAATACTGAATGCTGGAATATTATGACTCTGAAAATATATTGGAGAAAAATAAAATCCTTGCCAGGTAAGACAGTGTTTCCCAGCTGGCTAGTGTTGAGTTACTGCCTTTTTACAAAAGATGTGCCCAAGGAGCCTGTTGTTGCTGACTGTAATACACCTTTCAAAACATCTTTACATGCCTGATGAAAAGGACTTCAGTGCTGTGAACACTAGGAAGAGTACAACTGTATGGCACACCATCACCGATACCAAAAAGAGCTGTTTCTGTTCAGCATTTCCACTTGGCACAATACTGTAACTTCTCAAATGTTCAAGGAGGTTCTGTGAGTGCACACTGGGAAGTTGTTTCGTAGCCTTCTTGAATGAGCGTGCAAGCAGCTGGCTGTGTAAAACGAGTCTGTGGAGGGAAGACTACTGAAGTGTACCGATGCGTGCCTTAAGCTGACTTAGAGCTATGTTAGAATCCTAAAAGACTTCTGTCCTCCTCTTGCGTTCCAATATCTGACACCCTTGGAGTTGGAGACAATTAAGGGGGGACAAAATCCTACTCCTGATCTGTCTCACCTAATTTTTGCTTTATACTCTGCTTGCATCTTATTTGTAGTTTTGATCTGCAGGCGTGCATCACAGCTGCTCATGGAACGGTTCAGAGTTCATATGGTGGTTATACTTAAGAATAGTCTGTGTATGGTGCTGTAGCATCATAACTGAACAATTACAGGAAAAATTGCAGTGTTCCAGACTTGCTTTGTTCAGCCTTGAGTCTGGTCAGATGCTTGAACACCAAATTAAAGGTCAGAAGCCTACAAAATCATCTGATCTTGATACTGGAATTGTGGCATCTGGGAAATCATAATTGCAACTTCCATGTGTGCAGATTCACAGAAAGATAACGATATGTTGGGTAACATATAATATGGCCCCCAAAAAAATGAATTTTCTTTGCCGTCCTAGGATTTTCAAAACTTCTGTTTTATTGACTGAGTTTTTGTACAACTAAGAAGCATGTGCATTGCTTGAACTTTACAGTAGAGCCTGTAAAATTTACTATGTGGGAACAGCGGTGTGCCATATGGCCTAACTGCATTTATTTATTTAAAGGCTTGTTTGCAGAATGTCTTCAGTAATGCGTATGATCTTGTCACAGCAATGTGGAGCAAGCCCAGTCTTGCATGCCGATGCTTTTTGTTAACTGTAGACTGGGCGGGTTTCCAGGTCAGAGTTAATTTTGATGAGATTAAGTTTGTCAAAACTGAAAATGGGAAGAAGACAGAAAAGCTGGTGTGGGGTGACACTGGCTACAGTAGCCTGTCAGCTAAGATTTGTTCCTGTGGAAGAGACGACTACAGGTGGAAAGTAAGAGGCAAGCAGGTAGTCAAAACTTTAAACGCATCTTATGGGTACTGCAGAGCAGATTCTATATTGGGGAGGGGATGTAGTATGCGAAACCCTCCTGTCTAGCTGAGGGCACAAGCAGAAGACACTGCATTGATCGGATCTGTCGCATCTTATGCAAATGTCTGATATCTTCAGCTGTGGGAGAACTTGTAGTTGTGTGGAGAGGACTTGAATCTTGTGGTCTCTTCTACAGTGCTTCTCGTGCAGCTCCGATGCTATGTACAGCATTTTGATATATGGACATAATCGTAATTAACTCCTGTGATAAACTCCTACAGTGTTTACTCTTACTGTTTGCAGAATTAACACACCTGGGATGGGAAAAGGATAATGGCAAAAAATTTACTTCCGTTTTCACTCTTGTAAAATATGCGTGATAGTAGCAGACCTTTGGGTGTTCCTTTTTCACTACTAACTTTATACGCATAAATACACCTAATAATTTAAATGTTTGTGTGACACAGTTATATTTGTACACAGCAGCCAGTGCTGTGTGTCTTAGGGATCAAGGTTTACAAATGCAAGGGCTGGGGCTGTGGGTCTGTCTCTGTTTAGGAAACTTCTTGTGGTGGGACTGTGATGGTGTGTGCCTAACCAGGCGTGGGCATTTCTCCTGTGGCCCGTTGCTTCCGTGGGTGTGCGTGTGTCACTCCAGAAAGTGCTGGGGCACTCGACGTGAACAAAGGACTGTTGTCATCTTAATTCCTTTATTAATGTCTTAAAAATAGCTTCCGTGCTGCAGTTTTGAAAACACTGTGAGAATCGGACAGAGATGGTCAAATAGATGTAATTAATGTGTTGCATTCTGAGCTCAGCGTCAATAATGGGGAAGGGAAGGAAGAAGTGATTTTGAACTTGAGAATCACTTTATGCTAGGGGCAGCGTCAGTAAGATGTGTGAGGTATGGGACTGTATTTTGTGTCCAGTGGCCCGTTAGTCCCAGCGAATGACAGGAGTGTTCCTGTGAGTGCAGCACTATGGAAGGTGACGTCTGTCTGGTTTGTGCAAATGAAACCTTGAGAAGGGAAATGAGGCTAATCGTTTCAACCCTGCATTAATGAAATATAGTGGACTATATTACTGCTTTGTTGTGCAGAAGAGTTAACTGGCAAGAGATTTGACCTACAAAACATAAGTTTATTACCTCATGGAAATTGGCACAGGCTTTGTTTTGATTAACTGTGAAACTGTCAGAGACCGTGACATAGTGGTGAGAAAACATAAAATGAGATGCTGATACCTTGCTCAGGCATGCGGTTGGTTGTTAACACTGGCACAATATTCTCCTCTTAGGGCATTACTTAAAAGTCAAAATTGCTTGAATATAAACGTTGGTAAGACCGAAAGCATTGCTATACTACCTAGAAAGTACGTGAATATTATACATGAAAATATGGTGCCTCCCCTGTACCATACATGTGGTTACTTTATGTCAGTTGATCATAAAGTGTCTAAGAACAAGTCGAGCTTCTGCGATGCTAAGGTTATCTGTTCAGCTTCTAAGCGTCCAGCTGACGAGTGCTTCAAACCGGGGAAGTTGCCACGTAACAGGGTTTTTCATAGAATCTTTCAGCTGTAAAATTCTTCACTGGAAGAATGACTTGCATATAGCAGGCGGAAAGACTGATCGTAGAGAGTAAATTTGGTTCCAGTCTTAACTTCTTGTCACTTTTATCACTGCTGAAGAGTAAGCTCTTCAGAGTAAGAGTAAGTAGGCATGCGTGCAGCCACTCATGTTCTGGCCTTGTGGAAATGGAAAATAGTATATTCTCTTAAGCTGTGTATTTTTTGTCTACAGATGAAGGAAATGACCTGCCGTGATGTTGTTAAAGAGGTTGCAAAAATGTAAGTCTCCAACCTGTTTTTCCTACTCAACAAAAATCTGTACCCGGTGAGCTTGCCATGGTTTCACACTGAAACTATTCATTTTAAATTGGGTACCAGGTTTCATTTCTACTAGATAAGTGCTTGTGCTGACTCTAGTATCTTCTATTAATTTTTTTTTTTCTCTTCTTGTGAGGTGGGATATGCTACTTGGTACTGAAACATGCTGAAGGATGTAAAAAGTATGCCTTTGGCATGCTGCATTTTATAGGTGCAACTTGTAGCAGCAGTGGAATATAGTCACTGGCTTTAAAATATATAAAGCAGGTGACAGTTAGGGGAAACTCCTCAGCGTCCTGAGTCTGAAGAAATGCGTTGTTACACAGCTGGAACAATGAACTGATGCTTCAGACTGCTTTCAGTGGTCCAGAAATGAAGCTGAGGTCTCTGTTTTTCAGGCAAGTAGGAGTGCTGGGTCAGACTCAAATGCTTAGGGAAGAAGCAAAGTATAACTCCTTGTTTAAAGGTGTATATAGGGTATAGCTGGTCTCATTTAAATGATAAAGCTCGATACCACATGAAAAGACTGGAAATACTTTGTTTGCTATTTACTGATGCAATTTAGGACATCATCTTGGTGATAGAATCGCCTGCAGTCACTAATGCCATCCCACAAACTCTATGTGAGGATAGCACATTCACAGGGGAAAAAAGGGACCATTCAGTAAGTCACGTACTAGCGAGGGGAAAAAAGATACCAGGAGGAGAGACAACTTTCTGCTAGGTAGAGCATGAACTGGCCAGTGGTAAAACTATCTTGAAATTACTTTGTGAATTAGTATCTCTTCAAACAAATGCCCTTTCAGGTATCCACAACGCTTAATTTTAATGCTTCAGGGACATGTCCTGCACTTGTCACAAATTTAATAATCTGCAGCTGCAAAACAAAACTGTAATCTCCAGCATTTTATGACCATTGCTTTGAAGCTTATAAAGACGTAATAAATATGCCTCTATCATTGGTGTTGCAGCATGTGAGCTTACTTCAGAGTTTGTGTCTGAGGCTGTCATGGCAGCAGCTAGAGGAAAGAATTTGTGGGATCTCTGTTCTTTAAAACCTAGCAGGGACTTCAGAGTGGTTCTAAAATAGCATGGATTTTCAAGTAGTGAAAAGACTTCTGTTCTTTAATTCTGCCTCAGCTGAAAACTTAACAGCAGCTCTAGACAGAGTTCTGTTTTTCAGCCCCTCAGTAGCATTTAGCAAGATAGCAAAGATTTTAATCATTTGTTTTAACCCTGAAATACTAGCCAGAGCCTAGAAGAATGATTTCTTTAAGAGCTTGTAATGAAAAGACTTGTAACCAACCGAACACCTAGGAAAGGCCTTCAGATCATCTTAGGCAATGATCAGGTCCAGTCCAACAGTGACAGAAGGGCGTCAGAAGAACACAAGCATACAGTGATACTTTCCCTGGACACCAGCGTTAACGTTGTTCTTTGTATTTGTTCCACCACACTTTTCTCTGACTTTAATTGGAAGTACTTAGTGTGGTGCTGAAGGTATTCTTCCTTCCTCCGCTGTCTCCCAGTGTTCTGTGCTGGACAGAAATAGCTGGTATTTTTCAGCTTTTGACTTATTAATGTTTTCTGAAACTAACTAAAGAATACAGCCTTCTCAACAAGTGAAACCCTAGGTTACTGTAAGCTCTGCTGTTGTGCTGAGTGTATGTCTCAGCTCGGGGCTGTTACAGTTCACTCACATGTTCTGCCACTGAGGACTGAATACCGTGATGCAGTCAAACCAATATTGCTATTAGAGTGCAACATTTTTATCCCACAGACTGAGGAGTGATTTTACTAGTCTGGATGGTACTGGGTGTGCTGTAATACCACTTGTAGTTTAAATTCTGCTTACTGTTGTGTTTGCCATAAGCATGGCAGTCTATATGGAGATCAATGTATGGCTTCTAATTAGACACAACATACTACGATGTTGGGATTTAGTCTTAAGTGTAAACTGAAATAAGATTTACAGGGGAAATACCAGACACTCCTAACTGTATTATAACTAATCCAGCAGGAGCAGGCAGGTGACGTAGCCTTGGTTCTGCAGTATTTGAATCTTAATGTTTATTCCAACGATGATAACTTCAACATCTCAACATGCATCTTAGCTGTAATAATGTACTGTATTGTTACACTAGCAATTAAGCCTGGAAAATTCTCTGATGATGTTTTTTGCGGGGGGAAGGGAGGACAGAGGAGAAAGCATGGGGAGAACTTCTATTAACCCTAAAAAGAGTACTTCAGCAGAAATTTGTGAAAGGAAGAAAGTATATTTAGCCAACTGATCAATCTGTTCTAACCTGTACTTTGTCTGTTCCTTCCAGAATCTACATAGTTCACGATGAAGTAAAGGATAAAGCTTTTGAGCTGGAACTCAGCTGGGTTGGAGAAAGTAATGCATTTCTGTAATTTTTATAAACACTATAGAAAACTTGTAACTTTCTGTAACTAAAGTAAAAAAACTTTCGTTTTTTTTAAAAAAAAAAATTTTGAGTTCTCTCTGTATGTCAAGATCTTTGTGTGAATTCTACTTAAGTTGTGCTCTTTTTATTGTCAGTAACCAATGGAAAACATGAAATTGTTCCCAAAGACATCAGGGAAGAAGCAGAAAAATACGCCAAGGTAAGGTCTAACTTCAGTGTCATCTCTATGCTTCACTTGACAAATGAGTCTGGAGTAGAAGGAGCTAACTGAAGGTTGGGCTTCTCCTGTCATGATGGCTGGAGAACGTATAGTTACCCCACACATCCCCTCAGGGTTGGCTGATGTTATTCTGAAGGGAGAACCGTGAAGTTTTCAGTGTAATCCAGGGATAGTTCTTACTTTCAAACCCAGTGTAATTCAGCAGGCTTGCAGAGGTGGTGTGTTTCTCCTTGTAAAGGAGATGTATGAACTCTCCAACAATAGTGTAAGTGAGCAGGAGAGGTAGTAAGTCATGTTGCCTAGAACTGTTCTTAAAGACAACCAGCTGGAGGAAGCTGGGCTTCCAGCATTCAACAGCTTGGCTTTTGTTCTAAAAGTAATGATGTTGCTCCGTATTGCTTCCTAAAGATAGGAACTAGCCTGCTGAATGCAAGGCTTTGGACAGGTGGAGAGGATCATGAAGCTACAGCAAAACTCATTTTGCTTATTATAGGCCAAATTATAAAACAACTGTTAAAACTATTTTTTAATTAAACTTTTTTTTTTTAAAACAGGAATCTTTGAAAGAGGAAGATGAATCAGACGATGACAATATGTAACACATTGTTACTTCAAGACAAGTTCAACTTTTCTTAACTTAGAACAGGTTTGTTTATAATGTATTAAGCATGGGATGCTATTATGTACTTGTTGGAAGAAACCAAGTGACCAACTTGCACTAATAAATTTTCCATTTTACTGTCTGTTAGCTTTTATTTCAAAAGAGTAGAGGCCAGCATCACCTGGATCAAAACAGCCATTAAGAAGGAAAGGTATTATCAGGCTGGTGTTGCTTCCTCTTACTGCAGCACTCTATTTGAGCCAGGCTAGGTACAGAAAAACAATTTATACTGCCTAGCTTAAGATTAAAAACTAGTACTTGGTTATTCCTTGATTAACCAGTATCATGATTTGACATTCATTCAGAGCCACAGTCTGTGATTGCTCTTGGCAGAAGAGATGAGCACACACCTAACTAGAACAGCTGGATACAGGCTAAGGTGATGTGCGCAGCTGACCACTCCAAACAGCCTACATAACAAGTGAGAGTTCAGGAAAAGGAGTTTTAAAATGAAATATTAAGCCTAGGCTTATTTGAAGAGTAGGAAAAATTAAAAAGTAATTAAATTTAAAATAGTGCTTGTGTTTAAGTTCTAAAGCTGAGAGATCTATTAAGCAATGTAACTGGAATTAATGCTTGAGGAGTTAAACTATTTTTAAACAGCTTCATTCAGCTGTAATTTCTTAAATCACTTCTGAATTGGCTTTATCAATTGTTGACCTTCCCAGAAGTTGAAAACAAGTTTTCCTGCTTTCTTTCCCAACTTCTAGAAAAAAAAGACTGTCTATTCTAGTCACTTCAAAGTCCTGAAAGGCAAGGTAACAAACTGCTCAGTTCACCACCTTAAATCTCAGTTAAAATTGAAGTCATGTTTGTACATGTAGTTAAAATTTTAATGGTCATCTTAATCTAAAATGCATAGTTTTCTAATGAATCAAACTCCTCAGTTTTAGTACTACACACTAATAATCACCAGCCCTTAAAACAAAAGCTTTCCCTTACAGGTTTATTTTTTAATATAGTTTCTTTTCCTTTTGAAAAACACCTGGCTGCCTAGGGTCTCTCTTCTAATGGGATTACAAGATTCAGGTTCTATTTCCTTTTTGTGGCCAGGGAAAAAGTCAATAGAGAGAGATGGGTCAGGTTTGACAAATCCTTCATGACTGTCCTGGGCTGAAGCCATAGCTAGACCCAGTCAAGCTACCCAAACTCTTGCCTCTCCAGCTAGGCATAGCTTTCCAAGGCTGCCAGAACACCTGATCAGGCCTGCCTGAATGTCATTAATCATGACCATGACAGACAGCCTCCTTTGGTGTCTCTTCCTGAGGCAACAGTATAGCTGTTACACCGTGTCAGCCTTCAGCTCTGTGTTGTGTTTCTCCAAACTGAATTTACTACTGAAGTTTACTGCTAATTCAGCTGTTGGATTCATTAGCAAGTGCCAGCCAGGAAACTCTGATCAGCACTCTAAAGCATTAGCTGAGAGCCGATCTTCCACTCACTGTGTATGACAGCAGAATGACCCTATTTTCTTCACTTTGGCTTTATTCTATACCTACAGTGTTGCTGACTCACTGCTAAATGGAAGTTAAGAGCCCTCCTTACACATCGTTACACACATCCATCCACTCCTTCCAGTGACAGCCATTCAGAATTGGGGACAGGGAGTGTAACAGCAGTTCTGCGAGTCAGGTTTCAGGGCTAAGTGAGAAGAGCAGGATCAGTTCTGTGTATTTACAAGATAAAGTGGAAGGAAGATGTTCTACAGTATGTGAAAAGGTATAGGTAGGAAGAGACTGCCTACTTGCTTATTCAGAATTTCCAAGCTGCCATGCTCTCTAGTAAGTAGCTATCTAAAAAGCTCTGAAGAACCATGGCTCTGGTTTTTTGCTTGTTGTGGAAGGCTGTCTATATAGTAAAGCCCAATGAGAATTCAATTCAAGAGCATGTGCCTTTTGCAGTGGATAGCAGTACATACGAAGTGCTGCACAGCAGCCTTGCCTGTCATGGCAATGTTGAGTTAAACAATACCAAGGTGATCATTGCTGTCAGGTTCTCTTCCAAATTAAATCACTAAGTTATCAGAGCATAGGCTCAACCTGTTCATGAGAATTGAGCTTTATCTATGATAAGGGGAAAAAAAAAAAATCAACTACTTCTATTTCTGTTGACTGCAGATGGGGAAAGAGGAAAAAAGTGAGCATTAGAAGGTGGGGAAAAAATATTTACATTTATTGGGGGGGGGAGATGTGTGTATGTGTGTGTCAAGAAGGAAAAAAGCTATTTTAGTATTAAGTATCCTGTAACTGTAGAAACAGAGAAGCCTGCTAGCTTTATTTGATCTGAAATTAAGCATTGCTACTTTTTAACAATAAGGCCCAAGGGATATTAGAGTTCTAGTCCAGAAGGACTCATTTCAGCAGAAAAAAATACTGCTGCAAACTCCCCATTACAGCTATTTTTGTAGCCTTAACCTAGCTGCAGTTCCAACTGGGATAACCAATGAGACAACCACACTGCATTTAACAAGTAACTTCCTTACTAATTTGAAGCTAGTTACTTAAGAATGCTTAATTACACAGTTGTGCAGCAGCCATCGTAATGTTTCACTAATACAGTCCACACCTGATAAGCTAAATGCCAACTTTAATGAATTTTGCTACTGAGAATTAGTATTTACTTGTTGCTGTGTCAGTGGAAGTTGAGCACAGGAAGAAATTTTCCAGAAGAAGGAAGTGGCTACTCACGGCAACACTGACCACATAAAGACTTTAAAAATGTAGGGGGGCAGCATAGCATCATTAAACTTTGATTAAATGTTGAAGACCATGTGGGGTTTTTTTAAATATATAGAGCTGTCTGAGGGAAATCACTTGGTGCACACTAAGCTCCAGAAGGACTCAAGCTGGATCTGAGATTATTAAAGTGAGGACTAGATCTGTTACAGAACAAGAGAAAATAATATTAAGTCTCAAAAAAGCTTACTTTTAGCAGAGGCTCTGTTTTAAGTACAGGACTGGGGGCGGGGGTGAAGTCTAGCTGCATTGTAGATGCTGTCTTACCCTCCAGGCTTAAACAGTATCTAGGGGAAGAGTTTAATTTAAGCCCAAGAGAACAACCGCCAATCGGGTAGCTAAACCAAAGATTTGAAAGCTTCCACCAGTCTCCTGTAGCTTCAGCTGTGAGGCATGTCTGGAAAAAGCATGTACGCTCAGAGTCTGCAGAGCTGAAGCTCCAGAAGAGATGTTCCTCGAGACAAAGGCTAGCATGTGCTCCTACTTAAATCCTACTACTTTTGAGTAAGCTCACTGTGAGAGCAGCAAGTCTCCTAACATGCCAAGGGACTCGGGCCGCCCAGCTGGCTGGCTCGCTCAATTCAGAGCTCCTTGCAACATATGCAAGCCCACAGGATGGACCTACCTGCAGTGGTCTGTGACAGTGACCTCCGAAGGCTCCCAGAACCAGCCTTCAGCAGCAGGGGCAGCACGCTTTCCCACAACAATAGGGCTTAGATCCCCTTCCGTAAAATGAAAATTAGCTTTCATAATTGGTTTGACAATGGTCAATGAGAACTTCAGTGTAACACTGAAATGTGAAAATGCATTGCAAGGCTAACAAGTGGGCAGGGTAAAAGTTTCTGAATCAGAGACTTGAGCAAGAGGTGATTCTTAACAGTCTCACTTGGATTGTTTCTGCCCAAGCTCTGGGAAGTTTCGGTTCTGAAGATACCAGAAAAAGCGTAATTAGCCCACACCAAGCAGGACTTCTTGCTTCGGGCTCCACAAGTAACCTACTTAGTCCAGACTGGCCATTTATGGGAATACAAAATAAAGCAGAAAGTCAAATACCCACTTGGAACGTGTAACTGCAGTTCTTGCCATGCTGAAACATTTTACCTTCAGAGTTCTAATGGCATGTGCTGTTGCTTAAGACCCAAAGCGCAGGCTTTAACAGAACACCAGAAAGTAAGGCTGTATCGACCGACTCATCTCTTAGCTTAAAGTCATCCCTCCACCAAGGAGTATTTTAAGAGTACGTAGAACCAACAATGACACAAGAGCAGGAAGTACAGTAAGACGCTTCCTCTCCCTTTAAGTCTCATCCATCCACTGAGTGTTATTCAGCACCTGATGAATCACTACTGTGATATTTAATAGGACTGGATGCGTCACATTCCCCGTTACAATTATTTAGTCAGCAAGTTCACACGCAGAAGCCTTGTTAAAGAATTAAAAAGGGGACTATGGTGAACTGTAGATGACAAATTAAGAAGAAAAAAATTGCTCTAGTATCTGGTTTACTTACATACATCTACATGGCTGCACCAGGACAGTTTTTAGAATATGCAACTGGATTTGCAGAGTTCAAAAATCAAGCTTTGGCTATTGCATCGGAGTAATTGATTTTAATTGTTTATACTACCTTTACATGGCCATAAAAATTACTGGTTTGGATAATACCTTCATTACAACTGACCAGTACTGCTGGTGAAATTATGGTAGGATTGAGCTGTTAGAAGCTCACAGAAGAACAGCTCATTGAAGTAACCCATATATAAAATTTCCTGCATGGCAGATATCCATAAGGGCATCTCTAAAAGAAATACTAGTGATCTGTATTTGGTGCTTATGCTCAGAAAGGAAATGTTTTGAACAGAATTTGTCTCATGCAGATCTGAAGCATGCCAAGCACCAGGTCATTTGTTGCTTCCTTCTCATGGACAAAAAGAGCTTGATGGCCTGAGGGTAAGAGCTCCGCATGCTGGAAGCGTGACTGTCCCGAGGGACGCAATCCTGCTTGAGATGCTGTCGGGCTACATAGAGCGAGTGACCCTTAAGGAAGATTTAGAATAACTACATACGCTGTTTTGAAAGTCTCTTCCTCAAGATAAAACTGTAACTACAGAAGGGAATGCAAACCAGTGAATTCAGCAATGCATCTTAAGCATTTATCAGCTGGAAGATAATCGTGACCTTAAATACGGTGCAGAGTTTCAAGATCCTGAAGAGAAAAATAGTATTAGTTGTCATAAAAATTTTGAGACTGTAATAGCACCAGAAATACAGTATGGAGACTGTTCTCTCCCCTTCATTTTCTTCCTTCAGTGGCGTATGCCAGTAAGACAAGGACTAGCTTTTCCTCCACCCACCAGTTTTTCAGGTTACATGCAGCAAGGAAGTTACTTTTACTGAAGAATCCAGAGCTATTTTGAGACACCAACTGCTTGTATCTTTCCATCATAAAAGCTCTTGCTACCTATTATGGCTAATTATACAGCGTTGCAGAAAACTGGTGGTAGAAGAGCTAAGAGTGTAGCCTTACTGCTTGTCCAGTAAATACATTCTGGCATTTGAGAAGATGGGATCTACAACCAGGCTCAAACCAAGTCTCGTATTTCCAGATGGACTACGCAACCACCATGCAGAGCTCTTTCATCTTCGGTACATTGCTATTAAAGGACTCCGGAACAGTTGTTTAAAAATGGTTCTTACAAGTTGCTGTGCCAACCAAAAATGGACAGCTAGAATGAAGCAGGCAGCAGCATCACACAGTTTATAGTCCAAACGTGCATATAATCAGATAAAGGAAAAACTGAAGTCTCCCCTAAAGAGAGCATAAGAACCACCCACTGAAAATACCATTTTAGGTAAGACAACCCAAGTAAGGGTTTAGAAAGAACATGGGGTGCTTTATTGCTGCATAAAGATAGATATAATTTGGTATATATGTACTGTCTGCATATCCAAAATATTTCATTACGGTACCAGTTTCAGCAGATTAATAGTAGGTTCAGTTACAGTAAGCTGATACATTCCAAACACACATACACAAAACCCAAAAACCCACCCAAGTGATGCCCAAGTTTTTGAAAGTGAAATTTATCTTGTTCGCAGGGTTTTTAGACAAGCAGGAATCTGCTACTTGCATTATTTCAGGGAAGGACAGAGACCTATTACATTAGAGTGCATTAACAGGTGTCAAGAGCAGCAGAGGAAGCGCTAGATGACTTTTAACAGAATGCTTACATAAACCTCCATTTCAGCTCTAATTCTAGGTGTTTCCACTCTACAAAGCACACCACGCCAGAGACTATTTTTCCCAAATAATTTTCTATATACATCAGCAACAGAAAAAAAAAATCTGAAATACTGTTTTAGGAGGCAGAATCAAAATGTAGCTTAATGTCTTTCCTGTCAGTCAGTTTAACAAGCAACTACTTCCCCCAGCCAAATGCTTGTTTCTGCGCTCATACCAGTTTGTCCCCCGTTGTGCTGCTTGATCCAGAATAATTAAACTCTCCAAAAAGACAGATATTTTGTTCCTTCAGAGTTCTGGATGTCACACAACACAGCTCATTTCAGTGGTGCTGTTTACAGCTGTACTGGTGTAACTAATGGGCTGACAGACTACACAGCAGCACTGCAGAGGAAGGCACATCCCTGAAGGCACAACCCTTCTGCAGACAGTATAGTCTTGCAATTAATTCACAGGTTAAGTGTGTATTACACAGTGTTGATTGGTCAGCTAACTCCCTGGCCAGCTGTAAATTAGCTACCGTAATAATATCCTCCAAACAATACAGACAAATAAAAAGTATCTTTGGAAAAAGGTGGCTAAGTAGGAAAAAATTCAGAAGTAAATCACTGGCCAAACTGTAGATTCTCACTAACAGCAGCTACTTATAGCTAAAACCACTTAATTCAAAAGACTAAGGGCATTAATACTTTTAGAAAAGAATCCACACTGACCAGTCTTGTTAGCTGAGGCTGAAAAGTAAGTTAACCCTAAGTGGTTAAAGTAATTTGGAGAAGCAAAAGCCCTAGAAGAAAGGCCACATAACCAGTGCCCTCACAAGCTTGCTTTTACGGAGCAACCATGCTTTGCAGAAGTAGCACTAAGCTCCTTTGTGCTAGGCTGCGTACACACTGGTTACACGTAAAAGCCACGCATCCACACTCCTGATTCCGTCACATCACACTGCTCTGCGACCTGCATCTGTAACGATCCGTTATTTTAATCAACAGTTTGTCAGTGCTGACAAGCTTGAGAGTGACACTTGGACCACCTCCAAGGACTCGCCATCAGTGTTAGAAACCTTTTTTTTTCATCTCTGCAAGTATCAATGGATATATTTGAGTAAAAATCCAGACTGATAAGCCACTTAGCAGCGGCTAAGTGAAAAAGCTTGTGTATTTGAGAACATAGCTCTTAAGAGCTTTATTTCCTTCTTGTACTTTTTTAACACGGCTATTTCTGCAGCAAGAAGTCTTATGGGAGGGGAAGCCTTCCAAGATATAAACTAGGAACAGGGAGCATAAATGAGGAAGATTTGTACTCCAGACTGGCCGTGACAGATCACTCAAAACTACTGAAAAACAAGACAACCCTGAATCTACTAGCACAGGTATTGAGAAATTAATCCAACCAAGGTTTGTTCTCTTTGCCAAAGTGAAACAGCAACCTATTTCAGCTCTCTAACATCAGCAGCAATCTACATCTGAGATATGGATGGCATTAGACACCCATTTGGTATGTTTACTCCCAGTTTGGTGTCACAAAAGGCTGAAAAAGGGACCATGGCATTGCTCTAAAGTAGATCTCAGAAGTTAAATATTTAAGGAGGAATGCCTTCTATTTCAGAAGCTTAACTAATTCAAAAGATTGCAGTAGGGTTCTTCAAATACAACATGCAACCTCACGTAAACGTTAAAACTTTAAAGACTTTCTCCTGTTGGTTTTCATAGCACTGAAATATGTAATTGCCACTCCCAAAAGCACACGGGTTTTGCATTCAGGTTTCTCCCCGTATGTTTGATTTAGATGGGAGGTTACTCAAGCAGTAGTATTTATAAACAAGATTTGACTCTTCGGAAGAATAAAGACAGTTTAGAGACTCAGATGCAAGTTTAAATGTTTCCAACTTAAGTTTATTTCAGGAACACTAAAACTGTATTTGCTCTGTAGACTGCTGACTGACTATATTTACACAGAAAACCACTCCCCTAATCCTGTAGAAAAACGCTCTCTTCTCACCTCGAAAGAGCAAAACTTCCACAGATAAAAATGTTCACATCAGTAATAATGTCTACAGCTCGGAAGCCAGGAGAAAAAAAGCCACATGCTGTAGAGGTAATTTGGAAGCCAGTTTAGAAGTTCAGAGAGTTTTAAAACCTCAATTTTACAACACTGGAATAGCGGATGCACTGACACAGCCCATATGTGCACATGCATAAGATACATTTCTAGTGCTAACTATGTCCTGTGCCTGTCAAAAAAAAAGTTATTCATAAAGCCTGAAACAGAAGGTTTGATTACTCACTGAACAACAGGTAGATCTAATCCTTCGCCTTTACAGCTGGCATTCACAGACAAACTGTTATTTTGAAAAATATGTAAGGATGCTCTCCTTCGGCAGCCGTGTGGAGTAACATTACTACCCAGAACAGTAACTACACTCGCGTTTGACTTCAAGCATCTACTTCAGGTTTTGAAAGAGAGACTCATCACTCGATTGCAGATGACGACAACTGAAGTCCTTTGCCACATCTAAATTAAAGCTGCTGTAAATCTCCAGCTTCTCTGTAGGACTGTGTGCTATTGTTTCACAACACTGCACGACTTCCCCAGCGTAGCTGTAATAGCCTCACTGATGTCACTGACTTGAACCTGTAGTCCTTAGAAGTAATACAAGAAATTAAGGGGATTTGTAATCAAATTCCCTATCTTGCATCCCTTTGCTAGGCAACAGAAGAGAAATTAAACACCTATATTTGGATAATTGAATAGCACATGCCAAAACATGCAAAAACTGGCTTTAGAAGCCAATCTTAAGTAAACCCTGGCAACGGGCACCCTTCTTCCATAGTTGCTAAATTAGCTAATGTTAACATTTGATACAAATATGCGAGCTATCGTAATAGAAAATTACATACCAGAAAGAATAAAAATAGTCTCTTACAATACAGCTCTTACTCTGTCCAAACATAAGATTACCAAATCAGTCTTAAAAAAAGGAACATTTTATGTTTGGAATTAAAAGATTGCATGATACATGCCAGAACACCCCCGCACAGCTAACAGGCTAGGATGAAAGCAGCAGTTACATCAGTTGAGAACTCATCCCTCTTCTCTCAGTGCTGGGCTTCTAATAACACACATCAGGTAATGCATCACTGGTTTCTGCACACATTTTACAACACATGGGATTGCAGTTAAGATCTGCAGCCGCAAAGCACAACAAAGTCTGGACATCGTTTATTCAGTAGAAATAGGACTACTTCTCCCTGGAGATCTCTGAAGCCGTTAACAGGAGCTACTCTGACAGGCTGAGCACATAACATCAGTTTATTAGCATTACTGGAAAAAAAAGCAACTACAAAGTGAGTGTTATTGTTAGCTGCAGAGCTGACAGGAAACCAAATTCTGAGATTTTTCTCACACAAATATTTACGAGAGAGTACTCTGTGTTGTAAATATTTTCATGATTATTCCTATCCAGAAGAGATACTGCACTGCTTCAAAACATACCCATACCAGATTCAAGAAGCCACTACTAAACTTCAGTGGATATAATGCACTGTTTCAGGCTTCCCAAGGGTTACTAAACTTTGTGTCTTCTCCAGCATCAACACTCACAAGGAAATGATGCAAACCAGCATGCACAGTTATGTTTGAATAACTAAATATCCATTTTTCTCAACATGGGGACAGGAACATGCCAGAGCTGGGGAAACTGTAAGTAGACATTTAGCATTACCAAGTATTTTTGTTTGGGGTTTTTTTTCCCCATTTTCTCTCTCTCACTCACTCACATACGATAATAAATAGGAAGGAACTTAACTGCTGATAGTTAACAGTAAAGCACAATTTTCTCCATGACTAAGAAAGAAGGTTTGACCTTTAATTTTTCTAATGCACCTATTTTACTGACTGAATTTTTCTGTTGTCAACTTCAACATTTGTTGGGATTTCTTCCTTTATACCTGCACACTAAGTACTACACAACTTCTTACCACGCTCTTGTCTGCACAGTTTGCAATCACTTAGATAGTAAAGCTTTGTGGGAAGCATCTGACCTTCGTTTGTACAGAAATACAGCAGTTCCACACAGACAGGGGTTCTGAACCGCAAGGCAGATGCTTGCTCAACCACCACTGGAAAAAATGTTGCCTATTTACTTACAGAATAGAAACACCAAGGGGAAGAGCATTAAAAAAAAAAAGCAGAACTAAACACTTCAGACAAAAATAAAAGAAGCTAAAAGTCTCCTGAACATCTGCAAAGTCTGACATAGAGTAGCATAGTATTTCATTACACACAAAACAGCTCAGTGTTACAAGAAAAATGAGTATTTTTAATATTTCTAGAATGTTTTAGCTGTGATTGTATGTATATTCCGCATTTTTATCTATGTGTAAATGCAGTATGTCAACAGCCATATGCAACTACTGGAACACAATTAAAACATCTTGCTTATCCCAGAAATCTCTCTTCTCATTATTTTGTCTCTCTTCTCATTATTTTGTCTCTCTTCAAGGAAGCCACACAATACACTCAGCAGTTTTATTTGGCTGCTACTTGCTCTGCTATTCTTATAGAGAATACTACAAGATACAGACATTTCTGTACTTGCCTTTTCCTATCGAGTACCACATCTGTGAAAGACTTTGGGCAAAATTCCTATACATTCTGCAACTGATACACCAAAGACATTTTAAAGTGGATTATTTTTCCTAATTTACTTACAGCCACCACCTAAACTCTAGAATGACGTATTACCAGAGACCAGTGCCATGCTTAGAGTGCCTCAATGCTTTTGTGTTAACTGTAAATTAAGAAGCCTTGTGCTAATTTGCACAAGCTAAGACCAAGATACACATCCCCAAGGTGAAGCTCTTGTACTGCAGCTACAAGACCTTTGGTACTAACAAAGTACACACATAGTACAAGTACTGCTGCTTTGAACAATGATGTTAAAAATTTTTCTACCTTACAGCATGTCTATTTACAGAGAGATTAGATACTTAAAAGGACCTACTACAATTATCTCATTCTAGAGCTTCTGAAGTGTTAACTGTGTAAAGTTCACAGAGCACGTCATGACAGAAGAGTCCACTGCTCATTTCTTCCACTCATTTCAACTGTTTCCCTATAAGGGATCACACTGGGGGATGCGGCATAGCTACAAGGATCCAGTATAGCCAAGCTATCTGGAAGTCTCGGGGCTAGTGAACACCGGCATACATTTAGGATGTAAAATTTCAGTATCATCACATAACTCTGAGTCCCGAAGTTGATATTCCAATGAAAAGTTATTTTAAATCAAAATTAGACCCCTTCTCTGGGTTGCCAAAGAGCACAGCTTCTTCATTCCATTACACTAGACATCATCCCTAAGTTGTGTGAGAATGTTTACACTCTTTGTTGAGCTGCCTAGCTAGGCATTCTTAGGTGCTTCAAATGCCATAAAAGAACAAGTCACCTCTCCAGCTGACTGGCTATATAGAGTCCTTTTGCTCACAACAGCTAGATGGGCGATGTGCCGTGAACTTCCTAAGCATGCCAGCTGTACCAGATACATCCAGGTGGACAGGATCTTTCTGCTAGAAATCAGAAACGAGACTGATTAGTTTTGCCACAAACTGTTATTTATTGAATGGTACTATACTTAGTACAGAGATACAAGTTGTGCCTCAGAAAAAGCTCACAGTCTAAGTCACGATTTGGCCAATACATTCCAGAGAGAAATCAGAAGTTGACATTCAAAGTGAGTTTTTGAACTTTTGTTAACATTTGGGTTAGATTTAATATATTCTAAACAATAATTTGCTCTTCAGTTTATCCACTGCATGAAGTGGAACTACAGCACAGAATCAAGGTTCCCTCAGCACTAGAAGAAATGCCTCAAACCTTTATACACTTTGTATACATCCTGAAGCATCTTTACATTTACAACCCGGATCCAAGCACCAGAACTCTAGAGCTACCCTTCCCCCATGTTAGACAACTCCTTGCAGTCAATTCTAAACATGCCTTGTGTGCATTACAGCTTACTAAGCCTTCAGAGCTGATCTATGCCACACACCACTGCTCATTGAACTCCTTAGAGAACAGTCCCTTTCCTTACTGCTTTCCAAAGCATCAGATTTAATTTAAAAAAAAAAAAAAAACAACCTACAAAACCTACCTTCAAACCAGAATTTACATGGGAACTACACCTAAACTAACAATCCATTTCTGTCAAATTAGCACAATGGATCTCTTAACTATATTGATGGGTCCCTCTGCTGTTGCTTTAGATACGCCTAAGGGATGTCTTGTAGCTGAGAGTGAGCGCTGTCACACAGATGCTTCGTGGAAAAATAACAGATCTGCATTACAGTCAATCAGGGAGCACATTTTACATAAGAAGTCAAAGTGTGAAACTAATGTTAAAAATAGATATTTTTATTCCAGGCTTCCGTTAGCAACTCCTACTTCGTAGTGTCAAAGCTAGTTCTAAGACCAAATTTTCTTAGAGGACCTTTGACAGGGCGCTGTCACACAGATGCTTCGTGGAAAAATAACAGATCTGCATTACAGTCAATCAGGGAGCACATTTTACATAAGAAGTCAAAGTGTGAAACTAATGTTAAAAATAGATATTTTTATTCCAGGCTTCCGTTAGCAACTCCTACTTCGTAGTGTCAAAGCTAGTTCTAAGACCAAATTTTCTTAGAGGACCTTTGACAGGCGCAGATATCCCGGCCTGCGAGGCTGCGCCTGCAGAGAGCATCCACCACAGGCACAGAAGGACCGGACCAGCCTACGCTCCCCCCCCGCCCCCCAGCAAGCCC